TCCAGGAAAAATAGAATCAGGGACATAGAAAGGGAATGGACTGACTATTCTTGGGGGGAAAGGGGTGTGGGAGATGCAGGAAGAGATTGGACAAAAATCGTGCACCTATGGATGAGGACAGTGGGTGGGGAGTGAGGGCGGGGGTGGGGCGGGAGGAGGGGAGTTATGGGGGAAAAAAGAGGAACAAATGTAATAATCTGAACAATAAAGATTTAAATTAAAAAAAAAAAAAAGATCTCCTTCAATATACATTTACTTTCATTTTACTTACAATGCTAATATGCTTGGTTATCTAAACCCTAAGTTTACAAAACAGAAGCAACAAGGAAGGCAAAGATAAGCTTCTATGAAAGGTAATTGACAGAGAGATGAGAGCTGACAGCTTGACTGTCCACCAGAAAAATAATGAAAATAATAGGTTAAAATGTTCAGATTCAAGGTGTAAGGACCTTTAATATCAACTGAAGGAGTTCTGATCATCACAAAATGATAACATGCTATTATGGTTGATGTGTATTGAAGTTCTTATGTTATCAAGAAAATATGTAATTACTAGAGGCCTGGTGCACAAAATTCATGCTGGGGGGCGGTGTGGTCCCTCAGTCTAGCCTGCACCCTCTCCAATCTGAGACCCCTTGGGGGATGTCTGACTGCCTCTTGCAAACTGGGACCGCTGGCTCCTAACCGCTCGCCTGCCTGCCTGATTGCCCCTAACCACCTCTTCCTGCCTGGTCACCCCTATCTCACTCTGCCTGCCTGGCTGATTGCCCCTAACTGCTCCCCTACTGGCCTGACCACCCCTAACTTCCCCCTGCTGGCTTGTCCACCCCCTAACCACCTCTGCCTTGCCCCAAACCTGGGACCTAGGATTCCCTCTCTCTGGCTGGCCACAGGCACCCAGGAACTGGGAGAGCTTCACCCAGGCTGGCCACAGCCGCAGGGGACTGTGGGCAGGTGGCTTGTCCCTCTGCCAGGCCACAGGCCCAGGCGCTGGCGCCTGAGACGATGGGGTGGGTGGCTTGTCCCTCTTCCGGGCTGCAACCTGGCTGGACCCCATTCCTCTCTTGCAAGCTCATTTGTGCCTTGCTGGTCCCCACACCTCTCTCCCCAGTGTTGAGTGTCTGAGCCGTTAGGGCATGATGGCGTGAGGTCGTGATTGACCATTTACATATTAGCTTTTTATTATATAGGATGCTCAACATATTTTATGCAATGGTAGAGAAAGAGGGTGGTCTTAAACTGATAAAATTATATTTGGACTTTAAAGAAGTTGGCCTTGAGTGTCTCATACCTCAGTGGTAGAAATAACACCTTAGTTTTGTATTGGTGCCTGCTTCACACAAAGGATACCTCATTATATATATACTAGAGGCCCCGTGCATGAATTCATGAACCAGTGGGGTTTCTTGGCCTGGCCTGTGGGATCGGGCTGAAATCAGCTCTCCAACATCCCAGGAGGGGTCCTGGATTGCGAGAGGGCTCAGGCCAAGCCGAGGGACCCCACTGGTGCACGATTGGGGCTGGGGAGGGACGTGAGAGGTTGGCTAGATGGGAAGGGACCGCGGGAGGACTCCAGGGCATGTCCAGCCCATCTCACTCAGTCCTGATGGGCTGGACCCCATCAGCAAGCTAACCTACCAGTTGGAGAGTCTGTCCCCTGGTGGTCAGTGCACATCATAGCGAGCAGTTGAGCAGTGTTAGTATATCATTAGCATATTATGCTTTGATTGGTTGAATGGATGACCAGACGACTGGATACTTAGCATATTAGGCTTTTAATATATAAGATTGATTTTAGAGAGGGAGGAAGAGAAAGAAAAGCAGAGAGAGAGAGAGAGAGAGAGAGAGAGAGAGAGAGAGAGGCATTGATCAGCTGCCTCCAGTACGTACCCTGACCTGGAATCAAACCACAACCCAGATATGTGCCCTAACCAGGAATCAAACCTGCAAACTTTCTGTGTACAGGGACAATGCTCCAGCCAACCGAGCCACAGTGCAACCACTTTAGCTCTGAAATGATGCATCATTTCAGAGCTAAAGAAACCACAGTGCAACCACTTGACTCACTGTCCAAAATGATTTCCTAAAGATTTAGAATAATAACAATTTTACTATAGTTCCATTATTTTGGCAGATGAATGTTATAAATGAAAACAAGAATCCAAATAATGTTGGTATTAACCTGGGATTTGCAGTTCTTAGTTTAGAAAGTTTGCTGAAGTCTTCCTTGTTGAGTGGGACAGATCTGAACTTCGCTTCTGGTCTACCAGAGATGAGAATTGGACCACATCAGAAGGGCCAAGTATTCAGTGGGGGGTGGCGGGGGGGGGGGATGACCACCAACTAGGAAATTTTCCTATTTAGAAATTTCTATGCTTTCTCAAGTCTGTCTCAGACATGTGGTGCATATTTAATCTTATGTTAATCGTTATCAGATTTTCCTACGGAGCTGTGTTCCCAGCCCATGACCACTAGCGGCAGAGACCCTTGCCAGCTTCTAACAGAACAGTGCTCTGCTTCAGGCAAGCCCGGAGCTCAGGTGCACAGGATGAAAACGATGCCCAGAAGCCTTTCTCACCTGAGGATTTCAATAAAGAGAGAAAAGGTAAAACAAAACAAAAATGCAACCTTAACCGTCACACGTACTTAAGTTGACCAGATATTTTCCCCTTCTCCCATTTTCTTTGTTTGATTTGGGTTCGGGGTGTTTTTTGAAGAAATTATTTAGTGCTTTTAACATATTTTCAATGATCACACAATTATCCTTTATTCATAGGAAAAGGATATCAGTGGAAATCAAGGCTAATAGGAGGAACTAAAACCATAAGGTATCAACTGAATGAGGTGTACTAAGCCTTCATGAGGTGGTAGAAAGGTGGGCAAAATGTTCATTGTAAACGTGGTGGGTGACATTTAGTCAAATAGAATCGCTATCAGGCCTTATGCACCATGAGATTATGAATGACAGGCTCTAAGGCTATTCAGTCTGGAAAAAATGCAAATCAAATATCTTAGATGAAAATGTTCTTTGTAAAACTAAATGTTAAAAGGAGAGTATTTCTTTAAACACAAGAAGGAAGCTACAACTCCATGGTGATTTGTGGACTAAAGAATAGAAAGCCGTTTGTTTACTCTGATCCAGGATGGAGCTGGGGTTCGAACCTGGTCAGGGATTTGCCAGGATCCCAGTTCATGAAGTATCACATTCGCTGAAAAGCTCAAAAGAAACAGGGATTTTCTGGTTCAGATATAACACTATGTTATGAGCGATTGTGGTCGTATATCATCTCTTTAGTTATCTTTGAAATCCCAGAAGAATGAGGTGCTAAAAAATTTTTTAAAAAGTAATCTAAACCCTTAAAGCTCCAAAAATGCTCATTTTTGAAAGAAAAAAATATTCACACTTAGGAATATAATTTTCCCATAACTGGGGAAATTATGACTATTGTTCTTCTGAGGTCAGTTCACTCAGAAATAAGACAGGGTTTCTCATCCAAACTACCAACTAAAGCAAAACTGAATAGAGAAAAATCTAAATTAAGTAGGAGAAGGGTCATACTGAATATGTAGCTAACATAAGTTATCCTCCCCACCACTGATCTTCAGCAAAGTTTCTAAGGGCTATCCACTTGAAAAGATGTACATACATTCATTTTTATGCTGACTTCTTGTATAACCAAAGTCCAAGGAATTGAAAAGAAAAAAAAAGAAACGAAGAAAAACAAATAAGAACAAAGACTAGTTAATGTAGGAACTAAACAACCCAAAGCCCTGGACAACATCCAGTTCCTGTGTTAGCTTGTGTCAATTGTACTAACGATGCCTGGACTGCAAGAATGGCACTTATTTAGAACACCTTGTGAAAATTGATAAAGTTAAAGAAATGTTAATTTTTCTAAAGGAGTAACAATAGCAAGCTTAGCGAATCACTTTGATTCAACTCTAACATGCCCACAGACTGTAACTTATTTAACCAGGTATACAATACAGTGTTTATCTTTTACAGTGATTTTATTTAAATAATTAGAAGAAATCAATTGCTGTTCATAATGAAAATAAATCTGGCAATTTGCTTACAATCTCACATTTGAAAATAAGTAAAACTATGTGCAAACACATACAGGGCAAATTTATCATTTTCATTAGAAAAAACTTCTCAGGGGGAGAGGAGAGCAATGCCTAAGAAACACTGAGGTCTGTTGGGTAACATTTTCATTTAAAGATTTTTAGATAGAAAAATAAGTCATCTAATTCTGAGGAAATCAGATTTTAAATGAGTACATCTTCCATTAATTTATTATAATTCGTTCTCAAAATTACCAGCTTGGGTAAGTTAAATAGTGATAAATTAAATGCCTGCAATGTATTATAACAGTAATTTTAATATTCTAACCATTTCATAAGATTGCGCTAAATGTTCTGTCCAATTACATTATAACTGGCCAAACCTGTGTGATTGCCTGCTTCAACCCCAGATTTCTTCTGGGGCTGCAGGGGAAAAAGAATCTATCTGTATTGATTATTGAAGACCACACAATTTATAAAGCAACACTGTCCCCATTTGGTTTCTAATGAGTTATCTAGTGGTTCTCCCAGTTACTCTGATGTGAAAATCCGGAGCAGGACTTCTTTGAAGGAAGAAGCAAAAACACAGTTCATATTTGCTTCCAGGATGCGGAGCAGGTGATTAGTTGTAGAGATTGAGGAGTCAGATGTGTATTTTCTTTCCCTCTTCTTTTTGAAACAAAGCATTACCGTCCGTCCACACATACAGTGTGTTCTTCTTCAACTTCCAGTTTTCACTGAGTCAGCTCCACTTGCTGTGGTGGATCCGGGGCCCTTTGTTGCCAGGATGGGTTAGCCGACCAGAGAGAATGGGGCTTCTCCACCCCCTCAGCCTTGGGCTGTGCCCCAGAGGAGGGGAGAGGAAAGCTACCTTCCATCCTCTGGGGGACAGAGCCATTACCACTGGGTGGTGGAACGCAGCCGCCGTACCCTGTGCCCACACGCATCTGGGGCTCCTTCATAAACAATATCGGTTGCACTGACCCTATACAATAAAAAAAGAAAGAAATTTTAGAATTCACGTCATGCACAATCTCCAGCAAGAGATATCTTAATAGCACTGGCTGGAGAACAGACCTGAAATGTGGCGCAAAATGAGCCCATTCCTGAACCATTCAAGACCCAATGCTTTAAAAATGAAAATACTTTTGGTTGGTTGAGATGATTCAAAGGACTATGCTACCCGACAGTGCCCTTTCACTTTCCCTGTGTATTTCCTCTCTCCCCGTCTAGACCGTAAGTGACTTGAGGCCGGAGCTCAGGCTGTGAACGCACTTGCATTCCTATCCCCTCGCATGGTGCTCTGACCTCTCGTGGTGCTTCCCACTGGGCCTGCAGCTGCTGATGCTGGCTGAGGTCAATGAATATGGTGCTGTGGGTCCGCCCCTGGCACAGCCTGTGTTTTTAATAGGTTTCCCAGGAGCAGAGGAGGGATTAGCACAGACCCAATCTTGATTTATGAGACAGCTGGACATGATATTAGGAGGCGGTTGTGTGAGTGGCATGTAGAGAATGGCTCAAGCTGTTTGCAATAGAGCAGTGATGGCGAACCTTTTGAGCTCGGCGTGTCAGCATTTTGAAAAACCCTAACTTAACTCTGGTGCCGTGTCACATATAGAAGTTTTTTGATATTTGCAACCATAGTAAAACAAAGATTTATATTTTTTATATTTATTTTATATATTTAAATGCCATTTAACAAAGAAAAATCAACCCAAAAAATGAGTTCGCGTGTCACCTCTGACATGCGTGACATAGGTTTGCCATCACTGCAATCGAGTGACCCAAAAGAGAAATATTCTAACCTATTCCTGAGTACTCAGCCGAGTCCTTAGCTCTTTCCTGAGTTTAGCCATATCATGGTCAAATCACTGTGCTATTGGTTAACTTACAAAATCATAATATATGTGCCTCTAGAGTGGATTACCTTTGTAACAAAGAGTTATGTATTTTTAGCTCTTCAAGAAAAAGTAGAATGTAACTATAAGATATTCTATTACTTTCTAATAATGCTACGAATAACAACAAAATCAAAGCAACTTTTGAAAATGGCGAATGTTTTCATTACCCAGGCAACAACACTGGGAACAGTACGTACAGCACGATAATATTTACCATAATTTTAATTGTCAGTTCCTAAGTGTACCTTAATATCCAGGGTGTCCCTCTGGATATTATGAAGTAAAGTTCAACGGAATTGGGTCCCATGGCAACGTATGTATGAGAGGTAAGTTTAGAGTAAGTTTTAAAAAATAAGAAGCCTATGTTCTCTCTACAAGGAAATCTGGGAGGAGAGTATGGTAATAAGCATATTTGTGAAGGGCAAATATCAGAACATGTAAGTGCAGCTGAAACGCTAGCAGAGGAACTGTTTTTGTTGGCTCCAAGGTTTTCTGAACCTTTCTCAAAGCTTATGATACAAAGTATACTCAGCCTTGTTCTCTGAGTTATGAAACAGAACTTTGATATCTGAGACTGAAACCCCAGAAGTTGATCAAAATACAACTCTTGTCAAAGGCATTATGTCAACGCATATCTAACTCCATCTCTACCTGAGGCGGGTTGAGTTCCAGAGGGGCCTGGATTGATTGGTGGCCCCTCTCCCAGTGGCCTGGATGGACTTCCTAGATGTCCAGGCTTGCCACTGAAGGCTAGCTCTGATAAGACTTGAATACTCCCCATGCCCTGGGAGAACCCCCTCATCAACCTAGCTGTACAAGAACCCTTCCTTCTAGAACATGGAACGCATTTTCTTAGATCCATTGACAGTGTCCCTGGAACTATGCCGACAACTACCAATATACACCCGAACCCCAAGAATGACCACAAAGCCCAACCTAACTCAAAATGAGTCAACTCATCGTGAGCTTGCTCAAAGGGACCTAGCAGACTGCTATGTGACCAGGGATTTGAGACCATGGTAACCTCACATCTAAGGCAGGAATCCAGTCCAAATATCTTTCTCTGAAGCTCGGGGGCATTCCAATACAGCCAGCGGCTCACAGAGCTCATCCAATTTTAACTCTTGCTTCTGGGCTTACATGACACTTTTCACATTCAGAAAAACATTCAGGAGGAAAGTAAAGATAACCATTCACCAGACTCCAGGGAGGTAAACTGGCCAACATCTGCTGCCTGGCCGTCCTGGGGGGCCACAGGTCGAGTCCCATCCCCAAGACTCTGGTGTTCCCTTAGAACCACAAACTGCAGAGAATAAAAGGGAGGGAGAGAGAGAACATCGTTATAATTCATACATTATCTCAGCGTACATGATCAGAGGCTACGGCTTCTCATGTTCATACTATGGAAGTTGAAAGCTGAAGGAAAGGTCCTGTCAAATTTATTTCTCTGGCTAATGAATGAGAAGTTTAGTTCAGTTTGAAACTTGATGTTGCTCTCTATTAAAGCAGCCAGGCCCTATCAATGTCTTTACTGAACGATCTATCCTAATGCCAGAATCGCAAGTTTTGGGTCATGCTTTACTTTAATCAACCCAAGAATCCATAAGTGTTCTAAGCATTGCCAATAGGCCAGGAAAAATAATATCTCCTATAAGATGTGCTCCAACTAAGTTAATAAAATTCATTTAACTATGCTACCAAGTTCTGAGTAATTGGAGTCATGCATGGGTAGTAATAACTAATAGTGCAAATACTATTTGCAGGAATCCACCAAATGCTTTTTCATGCTTGAACAGTGTGGGAACCAGAATTCTAAAAGGCAGGCACAGAAAGTAACGTTTCTTTTTGGGCAATAAAATGATTATCTCTGTTATTATTTGTATTATCCACAATTGGTGTGGCACTTGCAATGGGGGCTGATCAGAGGTCACTGGCTCACATTCGCACCTTATACATTGAATATTAAAATAGATCAATGATAAAAGGAAAGAAAAGAAGTGACTTCAGGCCCCAGAATAAAGGGCGCAGTTTGGGAAAGTCCTTCCTTACGGATCAGTGACTCAGAGGAGGCACTGCCCAAGGTTTTGGCTAATCAAGCTCCATTGGTTCGGAAATGAGCCCTACATAAGAAGAAGCCCATAACTCAGAAATACAAGGAGGAAAAGGGAATGGAAAAACCTTGCTCAGGTTTTGAGAAAAGTATAGAAAGGAATGATGAGTGGAGTTGATTCGGGAGAGAAATGTTGATTATGGAAGAGTGGATCCCCTGAATACCTGTTTCCATTCTCTTACTAGAGGCCTGGCTTGCACCCTCTCCAATCTGGGACCCCACAGGGATCAGCCCTAAACTGGCAGTCGGACATCCCTCTCACAATCCAGGACCGCTGGTTCCTAACTGCTTGCCTGCCAGCCTGATTGCCCCCAACTGCCCTCCCCTGCCAGCCTGATCTCGCCCCTAACTTCTTGCTCCCCTGCCAGCCTGATCTCGCCCCTAACCGCCTCTGCCTCGGCCCCCACCACCTTGGCTTTTCCGGAAGGAAGTCAGACATCTGGAAGATGTCCGGTCGATCCGGTCTAATAGTATATTACCCTTTTATTAGTATATATTTCCCACAACACTAATCCTTCTCCTTGTCATGAATGGACTCCCTGAAGCAACATTTTGTAAAATCAATCTGTGACCCACTGTTATGGGGGTATGCCCATTATTTCCAGCTCCAGTCAAAACTCAGCCTTCTGCACTGCAAAATTTCCAACCCCATGTCTCCCTGTGAGCAGAACACAGGTCTCTGAATCCTGGGCTGAGACATGGATGGCAGCTGACAGAACCAGATTTGTTTCTGCAGCAGCTGCTCCTCGTTGGCGTGCTCAGCTCTGTCCCGCTCTCACTGATATCTGGTGAGGGCGACTGAGTTTGGGAGCCCCCGTCCCACACACCCCACACCCCCCGTCCACCAACCAAGAAGCTACTCATGACAACAAGCTGCTCATGGCAACGGCAAGTGTTTTTGATTTCTTAAAAAGATACACAACGATTGTGTCTCCTTCTCTCCCTGAGTTAAGTCAGGTGAATTCAACTTGCTACTCAACACCTGACCAAAATGCCATATAGACTGACAAGCGCAACCTGTGGACTTAGAAGTCACAAGGCCTCGAAGAACTGAGGACATTCTATAGCGAAGTGCACCCAGAATCACACACTTACGGAATTTCTAGAGACAGAGGAATCTTAGAGCTCATCGAACCCAAACCCCTTGGTGTCCTGAAGAGGAGGCAGGGGGTACGTGTCGTGCTGAAAGTTAGACCTCCATTTGCTGTGAGGATCAGTCAGGCTAGAACCCACATTTCTAATTGTATTTCTATACTCAGGTTCAACCACAAAATCAGTATATGCTGGATGATAGTATAGGCTGGGTGGAGGATAGTATAGGCGGTGAAAAGCGTAACTGCAGGAAAGCTATCCTCTGGGGATGCACATGAGGTGGAGGCAGGGAAACGGGCAAAGTGATATGGGAAGGACTCCAAAATGTGCCTTTGCCTCTCCATAAGCTCTCCTAATTAACATTTCCCTGTTCGCCCACCGGTTTCAATCCCCCATGGACCTGCCATATATTCCAGCCTCTTCCACAGTCTATCCCACCGATAATACCTACAGCACACAGTGAACCAGTCAAGTCATCTCTGACAGGTCTCTGGGAACAAAAATACCAAGTTTCAAACGTTTAGCCTGTCTCAAGGCTGCCCTCTAGTGTTTGAAGATCAATTTCTGAAGTGGGTCATCCGGGAAGCATTTTGAACTTGAATCCATAGGGTTGCCAGATAAAAAATAGGGCACCTGGTTAAATTTGAATTTAAATTGGAACTTTTAGTATTAGTATGAATGGAACTAGGTGGACCGTATTTTTTATTTGCTAAGCCTGGCAACTGTTTTGCTGCTGCAGTTCAGGGATTTAAAATGTTTGTGAGGAAAGAAACAGGCAGACAATTAGGAGAAACACCTTGGGTTTTTAAGACATCCATCTGAAGAGGATCACCTACAATTGGGAAAGACTTTTCATATACACATCACAATCCACGTTATAGGAAAAAGCTGCATGATCGAAAGAAAGGTTCCGTGAGTTTCTAGTGCAATTAAAGTATGGCACTACTGTAGCCTGTTGGATTACTTTACTTTAGGGCAGAGTCCCCCAGCCCAACCAGGTGGAGGCGGAGGCAGGGAAACAGGCAAAGGGATATGGGAAGGGCTCCAAAATGTGCCTTTGCCTCTCCATAAGGTCTCCTGATAAACGTTTCCCTGTTTGCCATGGTTCGACATGGGTGCTTATGGAGAGGCAAAGGCACATTTTGGAGCCCTTCCCATATCCCTTTGCCTGTTTCCCTGTCCCCGCCCCCGCCCCGCCCAGTTATTGTGGTGTCCGCTATCACATTAACACCCGCTGGAAGCTAGATCAGCTTCCAGTCCCTCTGAACTCAGAAGAATTAGAAAAACTGAGCTGGGATTGGTACAAAGCCAATTTCTTGCTTCATGCACTTTGGTCACGTTACCCAAGGTTGGGGGCCAGGGGACATCCCAGCCTCTCCATCTGCAGGCCTGGCGCTCACATCTCTGTTCGAGTCTTCGTAAGGGTTTTTTGGATTTTTCGATAGCAGCTTCTGAGTCCTGCAATCAAACCAAAATGTGAGACCATCTCAACACAACACAAAACAGTAGCCCGCTCAGGCATGGTCAGGGACGACTACGTTTGCTACTGCAATTTAGGTACTTAAAATGCATGGGGGAGATGAAACATTGAGAAAACTAGAAAGACAACTTGGGGTTTTTAAGCCCTTACTTTCTGCAGAACTTTCCAGATGATGTTTCACTTTTTCCAAGGTGCTGTGAGATGGGGGTGGGGGTGGGAAGGGGGGATGGCATAAAATGGAAATGGGGAGGGAGCCATGAATTTATTGAATACTACCTACATCCTAGGCACTGTCCTAGGACTGGAGATATAGCAACCCCCCAAAACAACAACAAAACATCTCTACCTTAACGGATCTACACCTTGGTGGGGAGGTGGGCAGTCTATGGAAATAGTTGCACAGCAATCACGTGACACACTATATCAGCTCATTTCATAAGTGAAGCCAGTGGGGCCGGAAGACAGCGTGACCACCCAAGGCACCTGCTAACTAGGGCAG